AAAATGAGGGACAGTAACATGGATGCACTAATGCCTTTTCCTGGTATGGGAATGAAACACTTTGACGCTGTATACTGGAGAAACAAAATACTGTAATCTTTGTGTATAAATAAATTGAAATAAACAAAAGGGAGCAATCAAGTGAGAGGGTGGAAAAAAGGATTTAAAAAAAAGAAAAAGAAAAGAAAAGAAAAGAAAAAAAAAAAAGGAAAAAAAAGGAAAAAAGCACTGATAATCATCTCAGCTAATCTTGCCAGTAATCTCTTAACAGCTAACATATTTCCTCCTATACAAAATCAGATACACAAGTCTAGTTTCTATCTCCCTCCCTAGGGTTCAGATGCATTCATTCTTCACTTTTACGGATCTCCCTTTAACGGATATTGGAAACAATGGACAAAATCTGGAGCAGCCAACTCAAGTCTGCTAGTCTGGACACAAGCTATTGCTTATCTAACTAACTGCTAGTTACCAGGGCTGTCACTTTATTTACAGTGCCGTGATCTAGCGTAGCTTATTGCTCTATGTCGCTTCCCCCTTTTTTGATATGTGGGTGCGTTTAATTGGTTCATATTTCATCCTTTAAAACAGCCATGTATTCAAGGGGATGAGTTGAAAAGCAGAAAACGGTGAATCTAACAGCAGCAGCAGCAAAAAAATAAAAGAAGAGAGAGTGAGAGCAAGAGAAGAAGAAGATGAGAGCAAGAAGAAGAGAAGAAAAAAAAAAAAAAAAAAAAAAAAAAGAGAGAGAGAGAGAGAGAGAGAGTGAGAGAGACATTGATCAGAAAATTAGAAAGTGATGTGTCTTCTGTGAAGTGGTTGTGTGATCAATAGAAAAAAAAAGAATAAAGAATAAAAAAGAGAAAGGAAAGGAAATGAAAGGAAGAGGATGATAGAGAAGGAAAAAAAACAGATATATAGGTATTCTATAAAGTCACATTACTGGTGTGCTTGATTTAAAGTACAACACTTTGTTGTTGCTCTTTCTTTTAAAATAATTGGATAGTAACCACTATTGACCACTGTCAGCGACCATGAACTTTGATAGATGTTCCCCTTTTGTCCATTAAACTAAGGTATTAGAATAAAAATATGAATGCTATTACTAATAACAACATTGATAATAATAATGGGAGGATCAGATAACAGTTATCATAATAATGATAATAAAAGATAATAATAATAATAATAATAATAATAATAATAATAATAATAATAATAATACCAATAATGATAACAATAACAATAATATAATAACAAACAAAAATAGTAAATAAACAAATAAATAAACAAAATAAAAACAAGGGGAGTTCACAATATCTTCTTTCTTCACCATAACAAGTTGCAATTTCTGTACATATGACTAGCTTTAATCTTTTTTTTTTTTTTTTCTCCTACTGAAATGAACCGCAGCATGAAACTATAGGCCTGCCAGATTCTGGGCTGAGGTTGTGTTTCATGTCTAAACAATAATAATAATATTACAAACAACAGATTCAAACTGGAAACGTAAAGCATGAGCTAGTGCCACTGTTCCGCTAAAAGTTCTGCCATAACATTTCTTTGCCTTCACACAGCGTAACTCACACAAGTCAAAAAAGGTGCATTCTATCTCCACTTCACAACAGGAACACCAAACACACCACGCATCAACCTCTAAATAGGTGCACTCTAAAAAACGTGATATGTCTCATTTATTGTGCTTTTTTTTTTTTTTTATTCTTCTTCTGAATATCCGTATCTTTCTCGCAATCCCATGCTCTCCCTTTCGGCATAGGCAAGGGTGAAATCGGGAAGAGCAAAGCAAAACATTTCCGTGAAAAAAAAGACATTCCTTAGTTGCTATGAATAAAAACATTGTACATACATTGTCTGAGGGGTTCAGGCCCAGCTGACGACACAGGGTATCATGTGCTGCAATTTAAAACCATGCTGAACAACGCTGCATCTCCTCTTTGGAAACATTTTATTTGCAAATGGTAATTAAGACACATGTTTATTACAGCAAGGCAGAGACGAAAGTGACAATGAAGGAATCAACTAAAAAAATCACACATCAAAAGCCAAAAGAAAAGAAAACAAAACAAAAAAATAAAAATAATAATAAGCAGCAGCAAAGTAAAGAAAATAATATTAAGAAAATGACCAGAATAAATCAATCAAATGACTGACATTTGCCAGTATGAACTTCACCAAAACAAATAAATTATTTGACTCAAATTCACATCATGTTTCTAAGACTTTGGCAATATTCGCAACTGCAGACTACCAGCACTCTGCTTGCAATCAGTGAAAGCAAATCTGATCGTCTTGCTGAACGAACTAGTCGGTTTAAATCTTCTGCCACTATTGACTAAAAAATAAACAACTCATTAGGGTATTAGCTGCTAGAAGTAGGCCTAATATGTCATAACAGCAGAAGTATTTGCATTATTACAAAATTCTAATCTAATTTCCCTCAAGTTAACACTAACAGCAAAAACAAAGGAGAAAACAAAATCCACAATTGCAAGTTTATCTGCTTTTCTTGAGTGCTTCTTCTCCCTGTATTTCTAAAATTCAAAATGTCAAGCACATGTAAACTAACTTAAATAATGTATGAAATTATAATCAACTGAATGGTACTCACTTGCACACTACAAGTAATTCATATTTTCTCTCCATTTTACCCTATTACAAAAGGAGAGAGAGAAAAAACTAAAACAAAAATCCCTTTCATTGCTGGTTGACCAGGAAGTGATATCCAAGGTGGATAATGGAAGGGAGAGAAGGCTAATCCAGGGAAATACAGCAGGGAGGGGAAGAGGATGAAAATTTCAAACCTCGAAGGCAATGATCTGCCAAAGGAATAATCCATATTTTGAAAGAAAGGAAGAAAAAAAACAATATACACAAGCAATAAAAAAATTTAAAAAAATATGTACTCCCTAAGAAAAACAACACAAAAAACAATAACAACGAAAAATACATACTCCCCAACATAAGCAGAAGACCCAGCATCACTCGCACTAACAAAACAACTGACTGATCACGAAAAGGATTCCTCACACATATCCTCCATCGAGACTGCAAACTGTCAAGCCTAACTGGTGAGAAAACCAGCCTGGGGCCATACTAATACCACCTACTTGCCTCTCTTTTGCTGTCATTTGTGTCATTTCAACTGATAAGTGCTATTAGGGTATGAAGCCTTGACATATGACACTAGGGATCACACTGTCTGTTTACTTATCTTAATCATTTACTGTTTTTACCAATTGTACAAAAACCTTTACACAAGTCCTATGTAGAGACTCAACTATCACAATACTGACTGGAATGTTTTATGCATTGACATAATTCAATGTACTAAGGTTTACAGACTAACTCTACGCATCAAATATCACATTCACATATTATGTAAGATCTTTCTCTAATGTAGCTGTCTCACTGGTATTTCAAATAACCCGTGTGACAAAATTGTAAATAAACCACTGGCCTTTTCCACCCACCTCTCTTCATTCTAATTTCCTTCTTTAATGTGATGTGTGTGTATACATATGCATGAAAAAATATACAAACATACAAAAAAAGAGAGAGAAAGTAGGTTATAAAAAGCATAATCGACAAACAAAGACGGACACAAATATGGAGGGGTGTGCAATAAAGTGTGTGTTAGTATGTAGTAGTATGTGTATGTTTGCATCTCGTCCTGCCTTTATGCAAATGTGGCAATGCGAATTTAAACAAATGATGCTCTTCAAAATGTGCTGTCCGATTGTTGGAGAGACGTAATCAGAATTTCTTCAAATTAATCTCCTGCTTCAAGAAATACTAATGTTTCTTGCCATTCTCACTGAAATAATGGATGTTATCAATGCCACGGCAAACATAAGATTAATGTTTTAACTATCAGGAATATGTAATATTGAGTCAATGCAGCTGTGAAATAAGAATCTCGATAAAATAAGCCTTATGTATGTATTTGTTCCTATTCAAGTATGTATGTACATGCTTAATATCTATGTATATATCTAGGGCCGAAAGCTAGAAGGGCCAATGTACAAAAATGCCAATTTTGAAATAAGTCTACCACCAAACTGGATTTTTTAGTTTCTAAAAGAGTTATAAAAACTAATGTCATAAATGCATTAGATATGCCACTTAATGTGTCAATATGCCCTTTTTAATATATAGGTAATAGAGGGAAGAACACTTTTTGAGAATGTATTACAGAATTATTGTCAAGGAAAGTTTACATCTTTAATTTTTTTGCCATAAAACAGCAGTAAATTTCTTGATTTATCAATCAATCATCAAAGAATACATAATTTCTGTGTTTGTTTAAAAGCACTACAACAAAAAATAAATCATGTGCTTTTAATTTTGAAAACATTTGCTATTTTCATCATGTAAACAAACTGTCTTTAAAAAGATTACATTAATGCAGCAGTTTGATAAATAACAGGAAAAACTCATTATTTGCTGAATCCCAATAAACAAAGCAAATTTTCAAAAAGCATTTTTCTCGATTTTTATAACAATGGCCCTTCTTGTTCTCAGCCTTAGAGATACCTGTATGCATGCATGTATGTATTTATGTATGTATATATGTATGTATGTATATATGTACGTATGTACGTATGTATGTATGTATATATGTATATCTGTATTTAAGTATGTACGTGTGTACATATTCAACCCCGTATTTTAGTAAAACATAGAAAAAATAAAATTAAATCAGAAAAAAATATATGCTTTCAAACACGCTCACACTCAACGACTGGAAGTGCATCTACCGAGTTTTAGTAAATGATATCGTACTTTGCGCCTTTCGTGGCTGTGATTGCCTCCTCTAGGTTGTTGTCCAGTTTGTGGTACTTCCCTCTGGAGGACGTCCTGCGGCCTCGTCTTTCCCCAGGGCTGCGGCCTTCAATGATCAGAGCAATAATCTGGGGGTGGAACAAGACAGGGATGAGAGTGAGAAAAAGGCTTGGCAACTTTTAACAAACCCACCCCAA